AAATTTAATACTTTTAGAAAGATCTTAGAGTAACTGGAATTGTTTTGTTGTAATTATCTTTGAACAGTCTTTCAATGTCATTAATTCTATTAAATTCCTTTTTTATTCTTCCCTCCTCCATGTAGAGGAATTCCTTCTTTCCAGTTATTCGCTGCCGGACTTATAAATCAGGATCAAAATTTCTTGTTACTGACGTCGGTGAAGTAAGTCTCGCACACAGAATTTACATTTAAAAAATGCGGAAAATCCAAATGAGCGACAAAAAAATGCACTCACCGCCCGCAGGTACCATTGTCAACAAGTAAAAAATATGAATGCCGATCGTTCAAGGTAGCATATTTGTTTTTGGAGGAAAATGAATGAGGATCATATGGCACAACAATATCTTTACCAATCAGTCTTTCGCGGCGCTTCAGCAGACCCCATGGAGCAATTCCGATTGTTACCACTTTTGATCGCATTCTTTGAAAGAAAAAATCGCTCTTTTATAAAGCATATCAAATTTTTTTTGCTTATTTTTAATTTTTTCCAATTATCACTCCGTTTTATATGCATAAAGACAAACTTGTGCAATAAGAGAGAGGCCAAATTTTGACTCATCGTTCTTTTTTCACATGCATGTTATATAACGATGCATAACAATAGTTACCTGGCTGAAATGCCTGCTTCATCAAGAGCAGTCGCAACGTGTCGCACAACTCCAGCGTCAATTCCAGCTGTGATAATCCATGCGCCTGTTGTCTGTGCCGCTTTCAGTAAGCCTTCTCGAAATACGCGGCCAAGCTTGTCTTGTACCCTTTACAAGGAAGCAATTAGCAATGACATCAAAAAAAATCTAGCGAACTGGTTCGTCCACGCAAAACTGTTTTTGCTAACAGTATTCCGGTGTAGGTATAATTCATGTACTCTCTTTTTTTTCAGCCATTGCGGTGCCAGTATTTTCACGTATCAGAGAAGCGCGAAGCGGAACGAATGAAAGGGAGGGAAGGAAACGTGAAGGAAAAGGGAGGTGATGGAAAAATATGTGCGCCGAGGGAGCGCAAACAAGTATTTTCTATAAGCAAAGTACGGTTATTTTGATACACTTGCAGTAAATTTGCATATTTTATCTAAAGAAGAGAGAAAAATTGAGTTTTTTAAAAATCAAAAAAATTATATTTGAAAAAAATTTTTCCTCATGCATTTTCGATTTTGTAAAAAAAATTTTTCACTAAATCAATTTTTTCTTTAGTTTTTAACTTTTAATATTTTCCAAGTAATTTTAAAAACTCACTCAAAATTAGTGATACCTCCATGAACAGTAATCACAAGACGTGGTGGTTCAAGACCCCAAACTTTATCCAGTAAATACATTATGTCCGCTGGATCTGAATCATAACCGAGTCGAACATAATGTGCCTTATGTGCATGTGCACCACCCTAAACAAATGCTTATTAGAAAAAATTAGAAAATAATCAGTCAACTTGCTGTAAAATGAAAGTTAAGTTTTATGACATAAAACACTGGAGCAAAGAGCGCTGGGTGAAAATTTTAAATCTCCTTTTATACCCACTCTCTTTGAGAGGTGAAAGTAACTGGAAGTAGCTGAGGGTGCTGGTGTGTTGTTTATGGTTGTGGATCGCTTTACAGCTCCCGATTGTTCGTGTTACACATCTTGACCAATTGCTGATTTCAGCTGCCAGCGGTGTTTCGTAGTAGAACCGGTGATGAGGACGTAATTCTGTTATAGCAAACATTCGTTGGCAAATCTATTGATAGCTCCCTCTTTCGAGAGTTGCTTACAAGCAAGCTGATAGTGGGATTGATTCACTAAAATATGCCTGTATAATTTGCCACTGAT